ACAAAGATCATATCAGACCACTGTGAATAATTATATACCAATAAATTGGACAACCAAGAAGAGATGGATAGATTTCTGGAAACATAAAACTTAACAAGACTGAAGAAGAAATAGAAAATCTCAACAGACCAATAATGAGTAAGGAGCTTGAATCAGTAATCAAAAAACTCCTAACAAAGAAAATCCCAGGACCAGATTATTTCACTGAATTCTGCCAAACATTTAAAGAATTAACGCCAATCTTGGGTGCCTGGGTGGCTCAGGTGATTAAGCGTCTGCCTTCAGCTCAGGTCATGATCCTAAGGTCCTGGGATTGAGCCCCATATGGGGCTCCCTCCCCCCTGCTCGTGCTCTCTCTCTCACTTGCTCTCTCAAATAAATAAAATCTTAAAGAAAAGAATCAATGCCACTCTTTCTCAAACTCTTCCAAAAAACTGAAGAGGAAGGACCACGCCCAGACTCATTATATTACGAAAGCCAGCCAGATAAGGATACTATAAGAAAAGAAAACCTCAGGCCAATATCCCTGATGAATATAGATATAAAATTCTCAACAAAATACTGGCAAACTGAATTCAACAGCACATTAAAGGGATCATACACCATGATCAAGTGGGCCTTGTCCCTGGGATATAAGGATGGTTCAACATACTGAAATCAATAAATGTAATAAGCCTCATTTATAGAATGAAAGATAAAAATCATGATCATCTCAATAGATGTAGAAAGAGCATTTGACAAATTTCAACATCCTTTCATGATTAAAAAAACTCTTAACAAAATTGTGCATAGAATGTACCTCAATATAATAAAGGCGCTATATGACAAGCCCACAACTAACATCATACTCAGTGGTGAAAGGGTGAAGGCTTTTCCTCTAAGATGAGGAACAAGACAAGGGTGCCCACTACCAGAAGTTCTAGCCAGAACAATTAGGCAGGAAAAAGAAAGAAAAGGGATCCATATTGGAAAGGAAGAGGTAAAACTGTCTCTGTTTGCAGATGACATCATCTTATAGATAAAAAATCCTAAATAACCAAAAAACAAAACAAAACAAAAACAAAAAAACAGAATAAATGAATTCGGTAAAGTTGGAGGATACAAAACATACAAAAATCAGTTGTGTTTGTATACACTAATAACAAACTATCTGAAAAAGAAAGAAAACAATCCTGTTTATAATAGCCTCAAAAACAGTAAGATATTTAACAATACATTTAACCAAAACGGTGAAAGATCTGTATACTGAAAACCATAAGATACTGATGAAAGAAACTGAAGAAGATACAAATAAGTGGAAAGATATTTTGCCCTCATGGATTAGAATTAATAGTAAAATATCTATACTACCCAAAGCCATTTATAGATTCAATGCAGTCTCTATCAAAATCTAATGGCAGGGCGCCTGGGTGGCTCAGTCATTTGAGCGTCTGCCTTCGGCTCGGGTTGTGATCCCAGGGTCCTGGGATCGAGCCCCACATCGGGCTCCTGGCTTAGTGGGTAGCCTGCTTCTCCCTCTCCCTCTGCCTCTCCCCCTGCTCATGGTCTCTCTCTCTCTCTCTCTCTCTGTATCTCTGTGTCTCAAATGAATGAATAAAATCTTTAAAATAAATAAATAAATAAAATTTTTTAAAAAATCCAGTGGCATTTTTCACAGAAATAGAAAAAACAATCTTAAAATTTGTATGGAACCACAAAAGACCCTGAATAGCCAAAGCAATCTTGAGAAAGTAGAATAAAGCTTGAGGTATCACACTTCCTGATTTTAAACTATGTTACAAAGCGATAGTAATCAAAACAGTATAGTACTGATGGAAAAACAGATACATAGACCAATGGAGCAGAATCAAGAGCCCAGAAATAAACCCATGCATATACAGTCAACTAATATTTGACAAAGGAGCCAAGAATACTCAATGGGTAAAGGATAGTCTCTTCAATAAATGGTATTGGGAAAATTGGATATTCTCATGTAAAAGAATGAAACTGGACCCCTATCTTTCACCACTCACAAGCATTATTTCAAAATGGATTAAAGACTTAAATATAAGACCTAAAACTGTAAAACTCCTGGAAGAAACAGGAAGCACTTTGACATTGGTCTTGGCAATGATTTTTTGGATATGACACTAAAAGCACAATTAACAAAAACAAACATTAACAAGTGGGACCATATCAAACAAAAAAGCTTCTGCACAGCAAAAGGAACAAACAACAAAATGAAAATGCAACCTATGGAATGGTAGAAATGGTAGAAAATATTTGCAAACTATCAGATAAGGAGTTAATATCCAAAATATATAAGGAACTCAAATAACTCAATAGCAAAAAAGCAAAAAATCTGATTTTAAAAATGGGCAAAGGATCTAAATAGACACTTTTCCAAAGACTACCAATGGCTAATACATACATGAAAAGGTGCTCAACATCACTAGCCATCAGGAAATGCAAATCCAAATCACAATGAGATATCACCTCACACCACACAACAGTGAGAATTGCTATTATCAAAAAGATAAGTGTTGATGAATTTGTGGAGAAAAGGGAACCTTTGTGCACTGCTGGTGAGAACGCAAATTGGTAGTCACTATGGAAAACAGCATGAAGCTTCTTCAGGAAATTAGAATAGAACTATCATATGATCCAACAGTCCCATTTCTGGGTATATATCCCAAGGAAATGAAATCACAGTATCTGCAACCCCACATTTTCAGCAGCATTATTCATGATAGCCAATACATGAAAACAACCTAAATGTCCATTGTTGGATGAATGAATAAAGAAAATGTAGTGTAATGAAAAAAGAAGGAAATCCTGCCATTTGCGATAACATGGATGAAGCACAGGGGCATTATGCTAAGTGAAATAAGTCAGAAAAAGACAAATAGTATATGATCTCACTTATGTGAAATCTAAAAAAAAACAAAACTCATAGAAACAAAGTAGACTGGTGGTTGGCAGGAGTTGGGGGAGGGGGGGTGGGGAGATGTTGGTCAAAGGGTGTAACTCCAGTTATGAGTAAGCTCTGGGGATCTAATGTACAGTATGGTGACCGTAGTTAACAATACTGTATCATACACAGTTTACCCTTGAACAACGCAGGGTTAGAGGCGCTGACCCCTGCACAGTCAAAAATCTGTATATAACTTTGACCCTTCTCACTGTTGACTGGAAGCCTTACCGAGAACATAAACAATTGATTAACATGTATTTTGCATGTTATATGTATTATATACTCTATTCTTAGAACAAAGTAAACTAGAGAATAAAAAATGTTAAGAAAATAATGAAAAAATACACATATAGTACTCTATCTTAAAAAATCTGCATATAAGCAGACCCATACAGTTCAAACACATGTTGTTCATGGGTCAACTATATCTAAAAGTTGCTAAGAGTAGATCTTAAATGTTCTTACCACACACGCACAGAAGGTAACTATGTGGAGTGATAGCTATGTCAGCTAAACTTATTATGTAGTCATTTCACAATATAAACATATACCAAATCATCACATTATACATCTTAAACTTACACAATGTTATATGTCAATTATAGCTCAATAAAGCTGGAAAAAAAAATAAAGTAGAACTTACAACCCCCCACCCCCCTCAACACACACACAGAAAAAAAACTGGTATTTTCAGATCTATCTTGGGAGAACCCTGTATCCTAAATGCAACTGGGGAGCTTGTCCACTACATATATCAATTCCAAAATACTAGTTTCTGTGTCAGAATATATATCTGGCTAAATGTTTCAAATCTTATATAAAAAAGTTACAGAAAGTTTAATAAAGAACCAAAGGGAATTTCATTAGACAAGTTCATCCTCAGAAACACAAAAGTGAATTGAAATATTTCATTAAAATTTTGGTTTCTGGGGTGCCTGGGTGGCGCAGTCAGTTAAGTATCTGCCTTCGGCTCAGGTCATGATCCCAGGGTCCTGGGATCGAGCCCCACATCAGGCTCCCTGCTCAGCGGGTAGTCTCCTTCTCCCTCTGCCCCTGTCCCTGCCCCTGCTCTTGCTCTCTCAAATAAATAAATAAAATCTTCTTTTTTTAAAAAGATTTATTTATTTATTTATTTGAGAGAGAGAGAATGAGAGAGAGCATATGAGAGGGGTTAGGGTCAGAGGGAGAAGCAGACTCCCCGCCGAGCAGGGAGCCCGATGCGGGACTCGATCCAGGGACTCCAGGATCATGACCTGAGCCGAAGGCAGTCGCCTAACCAACTGAGCCACCCAGGCGCCCAATAAATAAAATCTTAAAAAAATAAATAAAATTTTGGTTTCTGGATAAAGAAACAAAAAGAGTCTGGCTTTTTCAAAGAGGCTATGAGAAGTCACTAAAGGATTCTAAGCAGGAGGGCATGACTGTTCTGACAGCAATGTGGAAGGCGCACTGGGGGATCATTACAGCAAGAAGACACAGCTACAGTGCAGCAGAGCAGGGGACAAATAACGGTCTGGAATAGAGACAGTGGGAAGGAACAGAAAAAGGGTTAAGAACTCTTTGGGAGAGAGAATCGAGGATGTCAGACCCCTTCCTAGCTGCTAACACCCAACTCTGAATAAGGATGCCTGTCCTCCAAACTAGACTAGCCAGTATCCTCCATCCATTGATGTCTTTAGTCTGAAAGGAAGACAATCGGGTCCCTAGGAGCCCCCTCTGACCCCGCAGGCACAAGTAGGAAGATGTTTTAGAAAATGCTTTATTTTCTGAGTGGCAACCCCACCTTCCCACCTAACACATACACACACATACACACTCTTTGTCTTTTATCACATTTCCGAAAGGGACCATGTGTCAAGATGTCATCCATCTCCAGACATCTGACTCACACAAAGAGATGGGGAGGGGCCCATTACATACATCAAGCTATCAAAACACTCCTTTCACTGCTTCTGCTCAATCTAGAAGACTCGGCCTGAAATTATTTTAAGATTTTCTGTTATTTGCAATGTTATGGAAAAGTAAATTACTGACATTCACAAGGTGATAATCTGTAAAGAACAAGTTTGTTTTCCTTTTTTAATTTAGGATATTAGCAATACATCAGCATCATTAATAGAAAAAAACACTGTTGACACAGAAACTCAAAAAAACCAGCCATTAAGAAAATAATGTAGTACTCAACCACTATGAGAGAAAATGGGTCCTCTCATTTGATTCTACTGGCAAGCCCAGGTTTATCCTGAACTCTGAGAGACTCTGTCCTGAGTGGATGATGAAACATTCAAGTAAAAGGTAAGGAGTTTTAAGTGTGAGTTTCTGAGGGATACTGCCTCAAAAGAAGTTCAGGGGTAGCCACAGTCCTCCAGTTCACTCCAATGTTGGGACGTTTCTGGGACGACCAGCATAGTTTCCTCTTGAGGAGTTCTGACAATTCATCAGCCTCAGGATTCAGGTCTTATAAAACGTTCTTCCATGTTAAAAAAGACTTTGTTCCACAGGAATAAGTTTTTCATCGCTTCTCCAGCTTCTTGTACTTGGCTTCTGCCAGGGAGAAAGGAAGGAAATTAAATCTTTAAAACAAGCTCTTACAAAAATCTTTTTAGTCAGCGTTTCCAGGCAAATTCACCAATATTACATTAAAAAAAAAAATCTATTGCCTTCAATCTCATAATCTGTCCAAACTGGGTCTAAATTGGAGGCACACCACAAATGTTAACTATCATATTAGCTAAGGACAGATATTTAGATATCAATCATCAACTTGCACAACCTAAGATAAGGAGTCAAACACACACCCACCCACCCACACACACACAATTAAGAAGAAGTTCACTAAGTCCTAACCCTGTCAACAGCACCTGCTCAGACATCTCCACCAGGAGTAAGCAGATCTACTGGCACTGGAGTCACAGGGAGCCTTACTAAGCACAGGAAATTGCTTCTCCAGGCACTGTCCCCAGCACTCTCAGGGAGCCAGACGGGAACTCTCTGAACGTATATCTCTATTTTTCCCTTTTTATTTTCTTATTCCTATACCTCGCTATAGGAAAGCAATTTTGAAAGACACAGAGATTTAAAAGACCATCAAATAAGCCTCTTAATGTGATAGATTATCTTTTTCTTTAAAACCTTGAAAAAAACAAAATGAACCAAAACAAACCTTGAAAGCATCTGGTACAATGCCTTCTATACAGTAAGGTTCACCATGTAGTCACCACTTAGTAAATTTAATTGTGGACAATGAACTGTTATTCACCACTCATGTCACATCTCAGTCTGTTACAGACCTCTCTCCTGAAGTACTCAACAGTTGTCCATGATGAAAATAAAATAATCTGTAAATTATATCTAGGATAAAGACAACTTCCTTGTTTTTAATCATGGATGTAAGAGCCAGAGCCAGTTAGCAAGCCATCAGCAATACAAGTACCAGTTTCCTCCTTAAAGGAAAAGTAGTCCTTCAAGAAAACTCTTGATAGACTTTTCTATTTTTTAAGACATATGTATCTACATTACTAAAGATGCTTCAGCCTGCTGAACCACAATTTTAAGAGCTTGAGCTTTGTAATCAAACAGACCTGGTTTGGAATATAGCTCTTTCACATGCTAGCTTGTATCCTTATGCAAGTTATTTAACCCCTTCGACCAGTTTCTTCCTTCAAAGAATGGGGATAAAAATCACATACTTATCTCATAGATTACTGGGAAGATAAAAAGCATAAAACATGTAAAGCACTAAGAACAGTGCCTGATATGTATCATTAAGTACTCAGGAAACAGTATTTTTAGTACTACTACTACCATTAAAAAATTACTCTCACTAGGTTTTTGTGAAGCTTAATTAAAATAGATCATCATTGGTGCACCATAAATGTGAACTATCCTATTAGCTAAGGTCATATTGGGGGGCAGGGTACTCTCATTAATCAAAACAGAAATAAAAATGGTTACCCAGTTTTTTTGAATATGCATCCAACTTGTAGGCTGCCTGCTCAAGAGCTGCTACTTGCTCTTCAATTACATTGATCTGATCCAGATAAGGCTGCAGTCCAGCATCTTTGAAAACAGAGACAGACCACACGTTCATACAGCCTCAACACAGAGTATAGAAAAGAGTAAGGAGTAGGAAAGTAAAAATGCTAGTGTCCCTCCAGCTCTGCCCAATACACACTAGGTGGGGTGACATGATTCTGATCACTCGCAGGACAAACACTAACAGATCACGCAGAACTGTGACCTGGACAAAGCAAGTCTCTCTCATCCACTAATTTTCCTCTCTTTTAAATTCCTTGATCCTCAAGCAATCTTTCCATTACTGGTTCAGTTTCTTGAGTAATCCCCTACCAAGAATTAGTACCCTAGAGATAGGGAACACAAATATAAGGCAATGGAAAAATATATTCTACCAGTCTAAATTAGCATTTTCCATTTATAGATGTTCTGGTTTTCTGCTTATAGAGTAGTCCTTTAAGGATTCCACTGTTAAATAAATTCACTAAAATCTGACTACCCTTTCTCCCCCCTCTCCCTTTTCAGGAATAAACTGATCGATCACATCAGGATTCAGAAGCAGAAATAACCATACCAAAATATGCTAATCCTCAAAATGGAAGAAATTCTCCGTAACTTTATAATTCACTTCTAGAGAATGAGCTCCCTCAGGACAGGTGCCATGTTCCCTCCACTTCTCCACAACCCCAAGCACAAAAGAACACTAAATACAAACATGTTTAATTATAAAAATTATTACTTACATTTCTGGTTTAAGTCCTTTAAGTTTCTACTAATGTTTATAGCAATATCTTTCATTTCAAGATACTTCAGGCTGGTTAGTTTATTCATATTTTCCAGGAGCTTATAGTCTTCGCTGGTGGCTTTAAAATAAACAGAAGATATGATGCCTTTAAGATTTGTCATAGATTACTGGAATGTGGAATCATAGGCCAAATGGTAGTTCAAGACAGGATGCAGTGAATGTCAAAGGAGCAGGCCACTACTGATTTATGACATTTATACTCAGCCTGTGTATTCTGAATGTCTAAGTAGAAACTCAGGTAATAATTAGCAAACTATTTAAACCAAATAAGATCCAGAGACTTCAGAACCTTTGTTAAAAAGGAAAATAATAAATTCATGTCCTGGGGTGCCTGGGTGGCTTAGTCATTGTCTGCCTTCGGCTCAGGTCATAATCCCAGGATGCTGGGATCAAGCCCCGCATTGGGCTCCCTGCTCCGCAGGAAGCCTGCTTCTTCCTCTCCCACTCCCCCTGCTTGTGTTCCCTCTCTCGCTGTGTCTGTCTCTGTCATACAAATAAATAAAATCTTTAAAAAATTTTTTAATTAAAAAAAATAAATTCATGTCCTAAGAAAAGAGAAGGTGACATAATATTGGTATTTCTATGGTATGATAACATGTAATCTGGAGGACTGCATCATAAATACATATAAAATCAACTAGGAACCATTTCTTAGTAACTCATTTATTACTGTGTGATTCTATATCGCATTTTATGCACTCCTTCTCCTATCCTTTGTTCCCTTCCCCATCCCTACTCAAAGCAAATGGCTTTTCCTCCAATTTTCCTGAAAAGTGGAAAATTCCACCTACGTGAGCTGCCTCAACCTTTCTGCCTCACTTCAAAACTTCTCTGTACCTTTCTATCTTCCCAAGAGGCAGGAGTGCTCCTATTCTTGCCAAGACAACTTCTCCCGTGCTCTTGCTTCCACTTCTTCAGGGCCTCTTTTCAATCATCTCCTTTCCCTGGCATTTCCAAATTCTCTATCCTGGCAGTTTCCTCACTATCTAGAAATTATTCAGGTTTTTCTCCAGCCCAAAAGCACTCTCTCTCTTCTGCTACACCTACATCATTTGCTCAGTAAAGCAAAGGAGCTTCACTGCTAACCCTTGTGAAAGACCAGCTCATATTCACCGCTTCCTCTTCCTCACCATTCACTCATGTAAACCCTTGCAGCCTGGCCTTTGCCCCCACCAGCCAGGGAAATTACATGCTCCAAGGTCATCGGTGCTCTCCAAAGCACCAAATCCACAGCGGCGTTTTCTGTTATTGTCCTCCTCAACCTCTCCATAGTACCTGACACGGTGATCTCCCTCTTTTCACAAAATGCTCATTTCCCTTGGCTGCTACGTCATGGTATTACCCTGATTTTCTCATCTCTTTCAATCCACTCTTTGTAGGTTTCTATGCTAGATCCTTTCTCATTCATCCTTAACTATCACTTCCCAATTTTTTCTCAGCTGTGACCCAAATGACGTTTACATGGGTGGCACATTCCTATGGGCATTCCCAGGGTGATGCTAGCTTCCTTTCAAACTCAAAAAAGCATTTGTACAAGTAAGAATGACAATCACAGGGAATTACATTCTGTTTAAAATTAATTTTATGATAAGTAAATCATTTATAAACCTAGGTACTTTAAGAACTGTTGTTAGAAAAAATTAATTGCCCTATACAAGCATTCACTGAGATTATAGTTGAGGCCCTCAGCTACCCCTAAGCACATCCCTGCCAATCTCATCCTGCAGAGCCTTGACTCACACCGCTGTGCAGGTGACTCCCAAATCTGTTTCCCCTGCTCAGATCACTCTCTGAGCTCAGGACTCACAAGTGCAAGTCACCTGAGTGTCCTGGTAATATCTAAAATCAGCCAAGCCAAAACCAAAAATATTTTTTACACTAAACATGGTTCTGCTTTCCCACTTCTCTATTTTAGATGATGGTACCATCAGTTTAAAACCTAGAACACCTCTTAAGCTGTTCCCATCCCTCCATAGGCACTTCAACAAGTCCTATAAATTCCACTTCTGTGATATTCTTGCAGACATGCTCTCCTTTCCATTTCTTTTACCATCACCCTGTCACTGACCATCGTCATTACTCTTCATTCGAAATCTTGCTCATGTGTCTGAGCTCTCTCCTCCACAACCGTACTCTGCTAGCAAATTAGTCTCTCTAAAAAAAAAACAAGGGTCACACTCTAATACCTAGGAGCCTGCGAGATCATGTAAATGAATGAAGTAAGTCAGGTGTTTGCATGTTAAAAACATAAGATTATTCACTTCCACAAAGAAATATGCTCTCTCCCATTTCTTAGAACATGCAGTCATCTTACCTATCATTTACTTTACCAACTTGGATAGAAATATTGGTCCAGAAAATCATTTCTCTACCACTACTAAAAAAAAACAACACTGTAAGAACAGTGATAAATGGCAACTGACCAGGTCCCAGTAAAAGGGAGAAAAAAGAGTAGTGGGGACACACTGCATTGCACTAGACCATTTAGAGGAGACAGCTGCTCAGCTCTAGTCAATCACAGCATCACAAGAATGAGGAACTAGTATTGCCAAATCTTTGGAATTTTTAAAGAGAAGCCAAAAATCTAGATTTTGTTACTTGGCTTCTCTTGCTCAGAAATAACTAAAAAAACTGATCAGACTGATGGAGCCTCACAAGCCCTCCCACTCTCCATCAGCCATTTTCTCATTAATTCTGGTTCCCAAATTTAGCGCACAGCAATTTCCTGGGGAAGTGAAACAATGCTTATGAGAGGCCACACAGGACCAAACTTCACTTTTTGGACCTTTCTCCACACACAGGTCATGTGTTCACCTGGAAATACACAAGGAACCCAAAATTAATCATGTCCCCAAGTGTGGGTCACCAAATCCTCAGACCAACCTAGTAGGTCCCTAAATCTGCAGGTCACTCTCCATTCCCCAATTTCATTTCTCTTTGCCCTAGTAAATACATCTGCTTTAAGGGAACAAACTGCTTGCTTATACGCCTCACTCACCAATCGTTTCCCCCTTTTTGGTCAGTCATTCCCTTCACAATTCTGCTCAAAATACACCTCCTCCAAGGAAGCACTTCTTGATGAATTCTTTTTTGTCTTCTCATACTTAGTCTACACCACCAAGGCTTGCAGTTATATTAGGTATTTTTATGTATTTCTGAAATTAGCTAGTGAATTTCTCCAGGGAAGGAATGGACCTTCTTCTTTCCCATTCATAACCTTCCCAAACTTCCAACAGGCACATTTCAGGGCATGGGGAGTGTTGGGGAGGGAGCCACAGACTGATGCTGCTAAAGCACCTCACAGCTCCCAGAGCCAAACTACAGCTCCAGCGAGTGGCGCAGGGCAGTACCCGAATCAGCCCACACCCCGCCTCACCCGTCAGTTCCCCAGTCAGGTAAGTTGCCATCTTGGAGAACATGTCCCGGCAGAGCTCAGTGATGTCAGCCTCAGCCGGCTCCTTTGCCTCCTCAGCTGTCTCCACGGCGGCATCGTCTGAATCAAAGGAGAACGATAAGCGTCCCGCCCTACTCCGGGTCCTAATCCAGCCACGGCACCCTCTCCCCACATCCCTCCACCTGCCTCATTCGATCAAGTCGGCTCCATTCTCCATGTGCCGTAATTCCAAGTCCCTTACTTTGTCCTTGCCCCACCTGACACGCCAACTCTGCTCCCCTGCACCGGCCCTTGGCTCAGACCCGATCCCGTGGCCAAGCCACCCCAGTCCTCAGGTCAGGTGCGCCCCTCCGACCTGCTCGCTCCTGCCAGGTGAGCCCCCAGCCTCCTGCTGGGCACTTCATCCCCAGCTACTCGACGTACCTCGAACCGGCTCCTCTCTTTGGGTCGCGGAGACACCCTGGGCCGCCGCAGCCGCCGCCGCCATGCCTGGCCCCGCGCTGCTTCCGGTTGTGGGATGCCCGCGCCTGCGCACCGGGCTGCCCCGCCCTCCCCGCCCTGGGTTCGCAGCCCTGGGACGCTCCACCTCTCCACTGAGTCATGCGGCTTACGCTTACACGAGAAATAACAGAGTAAGCTTGAAGCTGAAATTGAAGCTAAGATAAGCTATTGTGAGTTGATCCGTTGCCAAGAGTCTCGACGTCTGGAACTGAGAATGCGCTCATCCCTGTCACTAGTGTAGTAAGACCCACGACCTCTCTGGGATTGGTTTAGCTCTGGCGGGCTACTGACCAAAGTCACAGGGACAGGGTATCCTCTCCCTAGACACTCCCCACCCAGGCTGGTATTCGTCGCCAAAGACTGCTCAGGGAATCCATGCTTTTGAAGGTAGTCTCATCCAGCCTTTGGGAAACCTTCACTCATTGATCCCTGAGCCGAAATACTGGCCCTTCCAATGTCTTGGTTAAACAACTCATTTGCCCCTTTTTCTTGAGCTGCAAGTTGGCACCTACTTCTCTTCAGCTGATACAGTCTTTCTGGAAGAAAGCTTTGTAACTTTTTACGGCTGAGGATACACTCTGGTTATCTTGATTGCTGTTTCACAAGTCTCCTAGGTGTATAGAGTGTATGTGATGGGATGGTGAAAAGGGTGGGAGAAGGGAATGGATGAGAAAAAGCAACTGGGGAGCAAGGTGCAAAATGAGAAAGAGGTAAAGATTACAGGAGAAGGGAAAAAGGTATATAGTGGGTCTTGGGACACAGACCTATACACCCAAAATCCTAGTGTAGAAGTTTTTAGTCCTGTTCTTAGTTATTCTCCATCTCACCCTCTTACCTCCAACACCCTACACCACACACACGCACACACACACACACAACCCAGCTACCCCTCATACCAGTGTAAGGGCTACCTTACTCTTTTCATCCTGAGGACCAGGTCTCCCTAGGTCACTGTCTCCACTCTCTAAATGGTACAGTCATAATGCCCACCATTTCAAATCATTCCTATGAGCCAAAAGTTCTTATTTCAGCCCCTTCACATTGTCACGGCTGCCAGTCTACCCCTCCTGGCAGGGATGAGTGCTCCAGCCCAAATACAAGAATGGTTCACAGCTCCAGCCTCTCTTCTTCCCCCTACAATCCCAGAAGCAAATGCAAAGTCCTGATTTTTCTAAGGATTTTTATTGATAGTCACCAGAGAAACCCATATGTCCTTTGCAAGAATAGTGTCAGAGCCCACCACATTTTATTCCAAAGATCTCTGAATCCAGAAATCATTTCTTTGTCTGATTCTCCTAAGGCCCCATCTATGTCCCTGTTTACAGCCCTGTCAGTTCCCAGTGTTTAGTGGAATGTCATGAGCAGCCTCCTCACCTGAGCCTTCATGGTCTTTGCCCTGGATGGAGGGGCATTCCAACACCTCTGCAACATTATAATCTCCACATGTGAGAAAGTTTCCTCTCCTCCAAGGCTTCCCCTTCTCTTTCACCTGGAAACTATGAGGAAGACAAGAATCCCATGGGTGCTAGCAGCAGATCTCTAGATGCACAAAGGATAAGATTCACTGGCAAATAGGAAGACATTTAGAGAATGCTGCTCTCTAGGCTTCTACTTTTTTCACAAATCGTGGCTATCCAGATGCCAGGTGCTTAGGGAACATAACCCTCCCTTCCTTTATTCTCTTTATTAACTTTTTTTTTTTCATCACAGCAGAGCTGAGAGCACAGGGAGTGAGGGGCCCAGTGGCAAATGTTATCTCAAAGAGCTACACAGAGCTACATGGCTACACATAGAAACACTGAGTCACAAGCCTAAGCTAAACATTGGTTCAAGAGGCCAAACACAGGATGGGACTCTGCAGTAGCAGTGGAGGGAACTGCTGCCCTAGAAGTGGAGGGCATGTCCTGAGGAGGTCTCTGGGGAGGCAATGAGAGAGGAGGCTGCTGTCTGATGCTTTAGGGCCCCTCCCCCACCACTCTCCTGCCCACCCTGGACTCCCCAGGGGGCTGGAGTCACAGCTGGGGTTTGCTGCAGGTGCTCCCAAATGCCTTGATCTCCCTGTTGGAAGAAAAAGGGACAGGTCATTTGAAGAAGGAGTTTGTGTCCCACTTCCTTTCATCTAGAAAATCTGGGTCTGATTCTTCAACCTCAGACTCTCCTGGAGGCCAAGGCAGCCCTCAGGCCAGAGCAACCAACTTCAGGCCTTCCCTCCACCCCTTCCCTCCACTGATACAGTGACTGCTATGAACATGTTGCCCCAGGAGCCTGGAAACAGACTCTTTCAAAAATGGTTTACTTCCACCCACTGAGTAGAAAAGATGGTAGAGTTCAAATGTGGGGAACCAAGAGGAATCAGGTGAAGGGCCACTCACCAGGCCTGGGGAGGAAGCTAGCTGCCCCTTCCTCTCCAGCATCTTTAGCTTTGAGCCCACAGCATCCACCTGGGACATGACTCCTTCCAGGACAATCTCCAACTGAAGAACTCTCCTTGTGAGTCTGCAGGATTTGAGAGAGACTGAGGGCGCAGAAATATGCATCTGTGGGGCTAAGCGTCTATAGGGGTAGGAGAGCCATTATGGTCTGTGTCTGGATGGGTGCAAGGAAGGTAAGGCCCAGCCTTGTAGGGAGAATTAAAGGGAGGCAGAGGTTCTCCCTGGACTAGGACAGAAAATTAGAAGGTTGAGAAAAAAGCTCAGGGTAGGACATTACAAACACACTCAGCCCTGGGCCCCTGGCTGCACATACGTGTAGAATTCTTCTCCTGAAACCCAGCCACCTGCTCTGGTAGCCTCTGGACCCGACTTGCCTGGTGGACTACTCACAGTGGGCTGGCCCAGGTTCTCAATCTCGACATTGAGGGCCACCTGATCAGGAAGTGAGAGAGGAGAAGATGACTCTGGGAAGTATCAGCTCCTATTTCATCACCTGCTCTCATGGTCTCCCAGGACAAGGCCCTTGGGCTCCAGTTCATGCATTCCCCTACCCTCTCAAACTCTAGAGATAATAGGATCAGTGTGGTGGTGCTGGACACAAAGCTGGACCAACCTCTGGGAGAGAATCACCTCCCACAGAAACAAAACATGAGCTCTTGGAAGCCTTGATTAATGAGACCCTCACTAGAAGCCAACTCAGTTTGGGAAAGGAAGAACAGTACCAGAATTCCTGCCACTTTCCCTCCTGCCCTTGATTTTTGGGTCTACACTGGATAGGGATGAAGCAGGCACAGCAGGGGCAGCTAAGGATCCGAGTTTGAAAGTCCCAAGGAGAAGGCAAGTCCTCAGAAAGAATTGTCAGGGATTCTCGGGTAATTGAACCTTTCCCCCTCAGACTCTGTTTTAGAGCAGTGGTTCTCAACCTTGGCTATGCATTGGAATCAACTTGTGAGTTTTTTAAAGTACTGATGTCTGGGTCCCTCACTCCCCCAGAGATTCTGTCTAGGGTATGTGACCCGAGTATGAGGATCATTTGACTCCCCACCCCCACCCCACCAGGGTATTCTAATGTGCAACAGTTTGAGAACCACTATTCTAGAGACTTCTTTCCTGTCCATCTATTGAAGGGGAGAGTGAATGGTTTTCTTTCACTGCCTCTCCCCCAACCAACTGGGCTCACCCTCTTCTCCTCCAGGTCCTGTTGCATTTGTTCTTGCTCTTTCTTGTCCAGGATGTGATTCCCATCTTGATCAAACCTGGTGAAGGCAGCTGTGAGCTCAGTGATTTCATGCTCTGCATGCCTGAGTCTGAGGAAAACAGTATGATGAAATGACTTCTGACTTGCTGTGGCTGTGATCTCTCAATTATGGACTCCCCACTTTTTTTTCCAGACTCTCTGACTTTTGCTCTCTGTGGAAGAATGGGACCACATAGGAAAGCCAGGATTTCCAAGGTCTAGCAATTTTACCCCCAATAAATTGTTTTAAATCTATGTCTTCCTTCTCTTAGTCCTGCTGACTAGGTTCAGGCTCTCTTGGTGTTCTATAGGAATTATTGCAAAATCTCTTTGCCTCTAAATAATCCATCCCCCCACTCCCACCTCACTGGCTTCCCCTTCACTCTCTACCCCTGAAATCCATCCTCTATAATGCAACTAAAGTAATTAATCTTTCTAAAGTGCATGTCTAAATACACCCCTTCTCTGCTTAAAATCCCTCCTGGACACCCTATTCTTTGGATAGAATGGTGGTATTCAAGGCCTTTCCCAATGTAGCCCTTGTTCATTACTCTGGTCTCATCTCCTGCTATGCCCCACTTTTATTTGATACCTTAGCAATGCTTAGCTACTTATTATTCCTATACATGTTGCTCAACTTAACACTTCTATGCCTTTGTATGTGCTTTCATCTTTCTTGGAATGCCTGCTCGTCTACAGGTAGGCTATTCATCCTCCTGTAGGTATTCATGCATCACCTCTTCCTGGAAGCCTTCCCTTAAGCTTAAAAATAGAATTGAATACTCTCTTTACTTTATGCTCCCTCTCTTCTAGTCACTTCTTTGTTGAACTTGTTCTGTGATTCAGTTTATTTGCTTACATGTGTATGAGCTCCTGGAGGACAAGGCTTTGTCTCATTAATTGTGTGCCCTACTTAGTGCCTGGCTTACAACTGGTGCTCACAACATATTTGTTCAGTGTTTGCTCATATGTTTAACTGGGAAACAGGGATGCTAAGAGAATAGGTCAATGTTTGTGGGGGAGCACAGAACCAACTACAGAGTTTTGCGGAAGTGAGAAATGTATGTAATGTTGAAGAAATTGTATTATTACATTAGTCCTACAAGTTGTTCAGTGAGGTCCAGAATGTTCTAGAACATGGTCAGAGACCTTTAAACCAAGGGCACAATTCTGAAGATCAGAATCAGAGATATATAGGCCAAAGTCAAAGGCCAAAAGCCAAGGTCAGAGGCCCATAGGCCAACATCAGAGGTTTTTAGGCAAAGGGTATATGGTCGAGGGCCAAGGACTTATAGACCAATATCAGAAGGTTGTATTTCTGGTTGCTCACTCCCTCAAGGTGTTGGTGAAATCCTCAAATTGGATCTCCTGCTCCCCACCCTGCAGGACCTTCTGTGCATCTGAAACCTGGTCCTTCCTCAAACGCAGCTTCAGTAGGGTCTTGTTGTAGCCCTGGAAGGGAAAAGGAAATAAGTACAAGTTCCTATAGCCTTCTCATCATCCCTTGCCCCCTTCCTCACCCACAAGATGCCAGGCTTCCAGGGATAAGTCAAAGCCACACAAGGGTGGGCACAGGGCCCTACACCAGTCAGGAATAGACCAGGACACAGAGCCTTGGACCTGGTCCCTGACACAGATGTGTGGCTCAAGGAGACTGAGTGGTTACCTGTTTCAGGAGGTCAGAAAGTTGCAGCTCATCCTTCTGTCCAGCCAACTCTTCCTTGACCTCTGAATATGTGTCATTGATGATGGCCAGGAACATGTTCTGGAGATAAAGTAGGGACCTGGGTCTTCACCCCCAGACCCACTAACAGCAATGAGCCCACTAACCCTATTACTATCCCAGACACATGTTCTAAAGGAGCCAATGCTTTCAGTTGCAGCTCTGCAGCCCACTAACCCCCACATCTCAGGGTCCCCAGAGCCCCGTTCAGCACAATCCTGTTAGGGATGGATCAAGCTCCCTCACCCAACTGCTATCCTCACTCAGTTGTTCTGCAGTAACCTGACTACAATGATACCCCATCATATGCAAGAGTTCACCTCCATATAAGGGCCAACCAATCACTGAGAGTATAGTTTTGCTATCTTTATCATATAACCCCAATCTAACCCATCTATCCCTGACTATGATCAAATAAAGAAACCTGCTGGCTTTGTTAATAAATATTAAACCCAGATCTTTCATAGTTGGCAGAGAGAAAGAGAGACTATAAAGTAATGGTGATAGAAATAGCCAGAGATGCCTAGAGGAAGGAGAGAATAGATATAGAAGCTTCTAGGTTCAACCACTTCTCTTCATGGGCACATTTCTCTCCCTTTCCATCCTTGGAAAATAGAGGCTTCGTTTTACGGAGGGAGCCTGCAGATTTCCTTATACTCTGCAAATTACCTGGCTGTGCTGGCAATATTGAGCACATTAGCCAGCTCTCAGGAGACCCAGAGCTCCCCCACCTCATTCTCCACCCATGATTTGAGACACCCATCTTAATCCTGAGTACAGACCATGGTGGGGGGCAAAACCTCACCCTCAGGTCCTTTATGTTTCCACCCCTCAAGTTCCCAATGCCCACCTCTCAGAGAGACCCTCACCAGAAGCACGAAGAAGACAAAGAAGACATAGGTGACAAAGTAGGCAGGTCCCAGGATGCGGTTGGCATTGTCAATAGCGTTGTAGTCAAAATCCCCAAGGATGATCCGGAACTGAGTGAAACTGAGAGACCAGGGTCTGGGCTTCACCCAGAGCCTAACCATAACCCTGACCCCTATTCACACCCCAACCCACTTTCCTAATTGCTGCTCTTTGGTGAACTCAGACCTCTCACTGCACTTCCAACCTGATAGAGAGTGAGGTACAGAGATACTTGAGCACACACACCAGAGATTCTGGAGATTCTCACACAGATGCTTTAAGCACAGACACACCTGCACACATACACCCAGCTTCCCCAAGGATACACACACCCACAGAGCTGGAGGGTGAGGGCCCAGGGAGGAGTGAAGGGGGCAGGACACACACATGCACTTGATGAAAGTGCTAAAGTTTTCCACTTGGGTTCCAAAAAGCAGGTAGCCAAGTTGGGCATAGGCGAAGAAAACGATGAAGAACATGATGGCGAAGCCCAGGATGTCCTTGGCACAGCGGGCCAGCGTGGAGGAGAGCTGAGTCATGGTTTTGTTGAAGCTGATGTACTTGAATATCTGGAAGTGCCATGTTGAACCAAGCAATGAGGGAAGAAAGAGAAAAGCTTTGAATAGTCCACTCCAGGGGCCTATGGAGGTCACCAGAGTTGCCAAACCAGACAAGGAAAATGAGACAAGTACTGAGGAAGGGAGAATGAGTGCCGTGAGGTGTTGCTGGGGATGAGGGGTCCCAACATACCTTGATCCAGGCAAAGAAGAGGTTCACAGCATTCATGTTGTTGTACTGTGTCTGCCAGAAGGCGAGGAACTCAAAGTCAGCATACATGTTTGGCTGCTGCAGGAGCTTCCCCATCAGCCGATTCACCTCAAGGGTTCGGAATATGTGGAAGCCCACGGCCACAATGGAGAGCTGTCATCACAGGGGTCAGAGGCATCAGAGAAGTCGGGATCTCAAGGGAAGTTCAGTGATAAGGTCCTAGGGGAGAGCTGGGGTAGGTAAGTCAAGTGGGAAAAAAAAATCCTCCCCTTCTGAGTTGTTGACTATTTCAGGTACAAATGAAACTGAATAGGATGATTGGGGGAACGTCTTAAATCCCAAGGAGAAGGCTTTGGAGCCTGTGGTACATATGTAGGTTGTAAAGGATCATGGAGAATTGGGGCCAAGTAATGTTATTTCTCCCACCACTTCCTGGCCTTGGTCAAGAAATTAATGTATCCTGTTAATAGGAAGAAGATGAAGATGAAGAGGCAGAATATTTTAATAGAAGAAAAGAGAGAAGGTAGGGGTTTCAAAGGGACAGGTCATTAAGGCAAAAGGCAGAAGAGAAAATAGACAGTACATAAAAAAAGGCAGCGCCTGGACCACAGGTCAGAGGGAGAAGGCATATGGGAGGCAGGGTTTTCCCAGGGGCTGAGCTAGGGGAACATAAGCCTCTGGCTTTAGGGAGCTTTCACACAGTGATTTGACCAGAAGTGATAAAGAGGACTTGACACTCCAAAAGGAAGAACTTGGAGTCCCTAACAGGGTAGATCCCCTTCCTCCTCCTACTATGTCCCAAGTATAAGATATCTGTCCCTCACCAAGATAACCACCAGGTCCAGAATGTTCCAGATGCTGCTGAGGTAACGAAGCCGGTGGATGTGGAGCTCCAGGATCTCCTCTACCACGTAGTAGAGGATGAAGATGCAGAAGATGATTTCACAGCCAATGATAAAGAAGTCCCAGTTGCTGACATAGCGGATCAGCTTGACCGTGCGGATTTGCCAGGATGGGATGGCACCTCCTGTAGCTGGAAACTCCACTACCAGTCTGTGGGAGGAGGGGGAGATAACTGGTGAGGCCTGGACTGGGATAGTTCTTCCCATCCCCTCTCCTCCACAACCCCACCATAGGGTACAAGTTTAAGGAAGGGTCTCAATCAGAGAAGGGAACCAGGAACCATGGATGGAGGGAAGATAAGGAAAGGCGACCCACCTCAAAACACAGAAAAGATTGATGTTGGCATTGTAGACTGAGAAGTCGATGAAGACCACTCGAGTGCCCCTGTCTAGCCATAGGCCCTCCTGAAGGTCCTGGAGTGCTTTTGCACTGGCCTGTCGAGATCCTGGAAGGTCCAGATAGTAGCCACCTCCACTGTAGCTTGTCAACTGACCCCAGTGAGAGGAGCCCCCCAGCTCATCCTGTGAATGGTATGTCCACCTGTCACAGAAGAAACCATCTGAGCAGAGAGGTCTGAGCCAGTCCAAAAGCTGATCTCCCAAGGCAATGGCAACACTTTATGATTGCCTGGGCTTTACAATTTCATATATATTATATATACATATCACATATAATATATATTTCACATGTATTATCTTGTTTGATACTAACAACTATGTGAGAAAGGAAGGTAAATATTATCCACATTTGAAGATGAGGAACCTAAGACTCAGAGATGTCTGAGATAATGCAGCTAGTTAGTGGCTGAACTGAAACTCAAATATAGATTTCCTGATTTCTCATGATGTTCCCCAAAACTAAGGATGGCAAACTCATGCCTCACTTTTGACCCCAGTCTGAGTAGTTCCCACTAGGGAAACACCTGGCTCACATAATCCAGAAAAGACACTTCCTGTTCTTGTGGTTGTGCAGCTGGCTGCTTCACCCCACCATTCTCTGTTCTGTCCACAGATTTCCTCCCTGGGCCCTCCCTTCCTTCCCCTTCTTTCATGTCCTATCCATCCTTTCCCCCCTTCTTTCCTAATTCTTCATCCATCCTCAACTCCTTGCTGCTTCCCCTATCAGGTCCAAGGGTCAGACTCTTCCAATTACGATTTGTGTAGCAACATCAGTGTTTCATCCATTCTCCATACACCTAAGAACATCTGGGCAAGAAAGGATGCTTTCTCTGGCAGGACTGCCTCCAGAGTAGGGCAAATGTGACTGCAATCTGTGTAGGGAAACGAGTCCAGAGGCTATGGCTCTGTTTGCTAATGTACCTTCTCTGTTCCTGAGTGACCCAAACCAAGACCTCCAAACAGTCAAAGATGGGACTCAGAGAGATGCTCCCCACCCTCCGCTCCCCTAAGGCTCTTTAAGACTAGTGGAAATGGTTCCCAAACCTCAGGATGGTGTGTCAGGCTTAGAGAAGCAAGCCCGGCAACATTGGTGGGGGGACTCACTCACGCTGTGCCATTGAGAGGCCCAAAGGGGAGCCGCTCTTCCTTGTCTGGAGAGTAGACATCGTAGCAGCTCAGAATGTCCTCGCGGAAGTCCTCATGCACCACACAGGAGTCATTGCGGACCCTCAGCTGCCGTAGCCTTGGAACCCCCAGCAACAGGTTCTCATAGTAGATGAAGGAGTGGGAGCCTTGGCCCAGGCTCTGGTTGTTGTACCATTTGGTCCAATACAAACTGTCCAGTAGTGGGCCCTGGGCAAACTAGACCACAAGCTGGGTTGAGCTTGACCCTGCCTCATCCTGACCTTTATTCTTGGAATGACTTTTGCTTTCACTCCTTGACCCCCCAGCTTGTCTCTAGTCTGCTTCTGTTGGACTCCAGCTGACCCATGAACCTTGACCAGTTCTTGACCTGATGTGGCCCTACTCTTTATTTAAAATGCATTTTGAATTTCAGCCTTACCTCTGACTCTCAGTACTAGTTTAACTCTGGCTTGACTCCCTGATCATCATCCCTTCACCTTCATCATCCCTCTCATCTACCTTCACCTAAACTCCAGTCTGACCCATTGATTCTTGCTTGACCCTTTGACTCAGCCTGGTCCCAGAATGATCTGGTCTCTGGATATGGCCTGGTCTACTGTCTGACACTCCTGAGCCCTGGCCTGTGGCTTTTTGCTTCAGGCCATTGAAAAGGAGAGGGGAGAGGTAGAGGGAATCTCATACTCACATCCCAGAAGTCCGCCATGCTGCTGATGGCCTGGAAGGAGACTCCGGTGTCTGACGGGGTATGTAAGAAGAGCTCGGACATCACTTTTGTGTAATAATAGGCACTGGAGCTTGTCATTCCGTAGGTCACTAGAAACCAACCCAAGAGGCTGTGTCCTGCTCACTGTTTCCTATATCCATTCTCCAGAGGAGACAGGAAAGCCCATTTGCCCTGGGGCCAGAGATGCTACCTAGATGGGATCCCATTGGGCCTACACTCCCCTAGAGTTGTCTGGGGAGGCTAATAAGGCATTGGGGAAACCAGGGAATATCTTAGCCTACAAGGTCTCCTCTTCTCCTCTCAACTTACCTCAGAAAGACTGAACTCCACTCAGAAATTGTCTCTTGATATTGTCATTCTGAAAATTCACTTTTCTCTTCCTAAACCAGCTTAACTTCCTAGTTCTTATTCCCCAGAACCAAGATATTTCCACCTTCTGCATTCTTTCATTTGTCCTATATCTATGCCCTTGGGAAATACCTCCAAATTCTGGAATACTCCAAGGCCCTGGCCAAACACCTTACAGTGGAGATGGGGTCTCCTGGACCTGACACCTCTGGCCCCAGGGCATCCTGATGGGCACAGCTGTCTCCTGATGGAAGGACTCAAAGCATCCCCAGATCAAAAAAAGACCTGACCTTTGCCCTGAAGAACTCAATCTTCCTTAACCACCCTAACCCATACACCCAGTCTAAAGTCAGGCTGTTAGGGAAGCTATACGTTCTCTAGTTAAAAGGCAGTATTTGAAGAATATAAGCCATTTATTTTATAGATTGTCCCTCAATTTAGATTTGCCTGATATTTCCTTATGTTTAAATTCGGGTTATACATTAGGCAAAGAATACCCAAAAAGTGATGTGTCCATCTCAGAGCTTCCTATCAGGAGGCACACACTGCCTAATTGTATCATTACTGGTGATGTTAACTTTCATCCCGTGTTAAGGCAGCTGTCTTCCAGCCTTCTTCAATGTAAAATTATTTTTCTCTTTGTAATTAATATGTATTTTGTGGGGAAATACTTTGAAATTATGTAAACATCCTATTACTCAACAATCTTGCACCTACTAGTTTTAATATCCAATAATATCTAGTTTTAATGACTTTTACCTGATTATTACTACCATGGTTATCAAGTTGTGATTTTCTCATTCCATCATTCCTTCTGCATTTGTTAGTTAGCATTCTCCTTAGGAAGAACTTTTCCTTCTTCCTCATTTAGTTAGTCATTTATACATACCAGCATGAACTCATGGATTCTTGTTTTTTCTATAGTTTATAATTTGTTAGTATTATGATATTGTTACTTAATTTTTAGCCAAGTCATGCAAGATAAAGAAAGACTAAAGAATTGTTCTAGATTTAAAAAGACTTAAGAAACATAAAAATTAAATGTAATATGTGCATTTAGTTAGGATTAAATCCTGGACAATAGTTTTTTCCTTTTACTATGAAGTCTGTTAGTGGAATACTTGATGAAATTGTAATAAGGTCTGTTCATTAGATGATAGTACTAAATCAATGATAATTTCCTGACTTTAGTAAGAGAATTTCCTTATTTTTAGAGTTACATATTAAAGTATTTAGGAGCAACAGGGAATTATGTCTGCAATTTATTCTCAAATAGTGTGTGTGTGTAAAGAGAGAGAGAGATTGGGAAAGAGAACAATAAAAGAAATGCAAGCCTGGTAAAATATACATATTTGGGAAACTGGGGTGAAATATATATAAGAATTCTTTGTATTATTCTTGCAGCGTTTCTGCAAGTCTGGAATTACACCAAAAAAATTAAAGTAGGATTTGTCAGTCTCTTGTGAGCAATTCTCTTTAAGAATTTTCCTTTTTAGGGGTGCCTGGGTTGTTCAGTTGGTTAAGCGCCTGCCTTTGGCTCAGGTCATGATCCCAGGGTCCTGGGATGGAGTCCCACATCGGGCTCCCTGCTCAGTCGGGAGTCTGCTTCTCCCTCTCCCCCTGCCCTTGCTCTTTCTCTCTCTCTCTGTCTCTCTCTCTCTCACACACACACACTCTCTCTCTCTCTCTCACGTACATGCACTCTAATAAATAAAATCATAAAAAAAAAAAAGAATTTTCCTTTTCAAATATTGGGTCACATTTGCTCCTACCACCCCTGGAGCTCATCCATAGAAAGAAGGACTGGTGAGTTGTCATAGATTAGGCATAAACAACATCACACTTTTCCAGGGGGAAATCAGCAAAGAAGGAAAGCATTATGATTTCACATTTCCCCACTCCACTCTATTAAGTTCAGGAAACAACTTTAATTCTCTCTGATTCAAATCTGTGATTACCTGCCCTTAGTATCTGGAGGACTCATACTCAATTTTTCCAGATCTAGAAAATGGATTGGAAGTCAAGCTTCTGTCTGCTGAGAACCCACCACAGAGTTATAAGGATGGTCAGTGTGCTGAATTTTTCCTAATGCCAAAGGATGATTAAATTGTTACAGCTTCTGGATGGCCACTAGGTGGTACCCCTTGCTGTACCTTTTTCTCCTCCAATTCTCCAGTTCTAAACTACTACTCAGAATTAACATGCTCTGAACTGGTTGTCAACGATTACGGAGGCATAACATCTTTGATTATTACCCAAGGTAGTAAAGACTATGTATTTTGAGGAAAATGATTTCACCTGGTCAAATGCCCACTGACACTCAGAAATTCAGTATTCTTTGTAACTTTTTAACTGAAGTACGTGCAAACAGAAAAGACCAAGAAACTATTTTAAAACTTTCTAAATTAAGGTTTGTGCCTTGTGTAGTACCTATTAAATACCTTCTCTCCACCCAAATACCTTCTATTCCTTGTTAATTCTTATTTCAGCAAATTTTGTACTTTGTCTCAGGAGATGAGGTATCCACCCCCCCCACCTCTATGAAATTCAAATTACTACTTCTCATACCCCAAATCGATACTTGGTAGAGCATATTATCAGTCTACCAACCTGATTATTCTAAAGACACATTTTATATTCATTAAGCAAACATTACTCAAAGTCTAACGTGTGAAACGCCTTGCTGGGTCATTGGTTTCTATCCTTAAAAATGTCTATTGAGAGGGCGCCTGGGTGGCTCAGTTGGTTAAGCGACTGCCTTCGGCTCAGGTCATGATCCTGGAGTCCCGGGATCGAGTCCCGCATCGGGCTCCCTGCTCAGCGGGGAGTCTGCTTCGCCCTCTGACCCTCCTCCCTCTCATGCTCTCTGTCTCTCATTCTCTCTTTTGCAAATAAATAAATAAAATCTTTAAAAAAAAAAAATGTCTATTGAGAAACATGTCCCAGAATTAACTTTTTCTTTAGTACATCTTTAACATTTAAAATTGAATTATACAGAATAGAAGCTTTTAATAGTATGCTGACCTCCCCTGCTCATGTATGCACTCAGAATGAATTTATTGTTGTAGGATGAGCATGAGCTTTGGAGCCAGACTGACCTAGGTTCAAATCCTAGTTCTGTCACTTACAGTACAGACTTGGACTCTGAGTCTCAGATTCCTCATCACTAAATGGGGGAATACAATATCTTTCTTGTAATATTATGAAGATGAAAGATGATGTCTTTAGAATGCATTGAACCCAGTGGGTGCTTAACAACTAGTTCTAGTCACCCTATTATATGCTCCTCAGGGGACAAGGACATGTTTCATTCAATTAGCCAAGTGCCCAGTCTTTAATAGTTTCTCAGTAAGTGTTTGTTGGGCTGAACCAAAAGTGGTGGAAAAAACACAAAAAGAGTAGAATGAAATAAATGAATAATTTTCAAAAATAAAGTATTATGACTCCATATTTGACACATAGCAGCGAAGTCATCAAAATAGTCAAGGCTAATTCCTATTTAATAGATGTTGGAAGGAGGCTGGAATGTTCCTCAGTGCAAAGAGAGCAATAAATTCATAGTCTTGGGTAAGAGAAACAAAGCCGGTTCTTAGCTGGCCTAGGGAGCAAGTACAGTTGGCCAGGAATCCTTACACAATGTGATGGTAGAAGTGTTGATGGCACAGCTCAATCCTCCTAATGTGAGCCATCCAGAGTATCAGTTGAGTATCAAGCCTAGAGAGTACTGCAATCTGAACCCAAAAGCAGGGCAGAGGAAACCCAGGATTGCGAGATGGAGTGATGATTTCAGCTCCTATGTCTCATATGTCCCCATCATCATATGATATGGTGACTGCAACATGCATCAGAATTACTTGGAAGGCTTACTAAAACACAGACTGCTAAGGATGGGGCTCAATAATTTTCATTTCCAATACATTCCCATGTAATGTTTATGCTACTGGTTCTGGGACCACACTAGAAACACCGCCTTGACCTGTTGCTACATAATCCCACTTGTCTTTGATAGAGTTGTCAGGAAGGCAGGGTGTTTCCCAGTGCCCGTTTCCATGATTCGCACGACTGGGAGTGAGGAAGAAGAAATAACATCTTTCCCAAGAGGCTGTCAGAACCTTCCTTCTGCGATAGGGAGGGATAGGAAAGCTTTTACAAACTACATAGACCTCTTAGAACACCCCCTCCTCCCTCCAAGGGAAAAATCACTGAATCTATTGCCCTATGGAGCCACAGGCAGTCATGGGAGTGGACCACATCCCTCTAGCATATTGTAGGAGAAGAAGATTGAAAACAACTTGTTGATCTTTCCCGCTGTCTCCTTTCCCCCACTCCACCCCATTAATTTCCATTCAGGTAAATCATTTGACTTTACCATGAAGAACCAGCTTGTCCAAGTGGAACACCCGGTTCAGAGATTTCTGAATCTGACAGGGACTCAGCGTATCCATTCTACCATCATCCTTCTCCATATCAGGAGAAAGAATAGACCAGACTAGCCATTTATTACCTCATAACATCTATTATATGCCCTATGCTAAGTGCTTCACATGCTTCTTTCATTTAACCTGACAACAGCACTATATATATATTAGGTGCTATTATTATCATCCCTGTTTTCCAGTCTCAAACAGCTGAAGTAACTTCCCCAAGGAGCCAGGATTCAAATGCAAATCTATCTGCTCCCACAGTAAACTCATTCTGTTCTGCTCCTAGGACTGAGCTATAGCCAAGGAGTAGAAGTTAT